TTCTTCACCTGAGGACAGAACAAAAATGTTGGAAATCTTCCAGGTGGCAAGAGTAGATCTCGCTGGCCCAGTTTTCTTGAAAGTGAATTTTAAAGACTTGCATAGTAATTTTCGCATGGGCAGTTTTTAGGCCTGTTCTTGAATTAATCTCTTCCTTGAGCACCATCACCTTTATAAATGCGTTTAGATGTTTTATTTCATAAAGAGCTCGAGTTAAAGTCATATTTGGTTTTAATCATATTTATTTGAGTTGAAGTCAATGGTTCGAATTTCATAGGTTTAAGTAGAGTTATGAATTAACTGAATTAGACTGATATTGAAAAGATATGTACTTTAGTGAAAATAAGATGGAAATTCTGGCCTCCCACGGCATCGTGGTGGGCACGTCATTGAGAAGAGGTTAATAAGAACTTTCAAGCATCTTCTCAAAAAAAATTTGAGATATGCTTGTTTAGGATTTGAAGAGTTTCTAGCCCTTCTGTGCACATGTTAAATGAACAACTGACCTGTAACTTGTCTGTCTGAGGAAGATGATGATTTGACACATTTAAAAGCCTGTATATTCATACAAACTTTAACTGGCTGGAATGTGTATTATTTCAATGACGTTCATTCTATGAGTATAATAGAAAGCTGGGAATATTTACGAATTAAAGAATGGCTTAGAAATCGTTTTAAGAAGGAATACTTGGGCTTTCTTGAAAGCACTGCAAAAGGTAAGAAAAGGATAATTAAAGTGTTTGACATTTTTCTCATTTGAAATTATAGCAAGGAACAAATAGACTGGATGTTGGCTCGAGTACTTGAACTGCTCCCAGGTAAAGATAATATCTTGCATCATGTGAAGCTGAAACATCGTCTGGAGTTGTATTTAGCCCAGTTAAGTTCCTCTTTTCACGTGACTGAACTCTAACTCGGAGATATAGCCTTTCACAACGAGTAATAAAGAAAACAACCAGATTTCTCAAATAGAAGGAAAGGCTCATCCTACACCCATCAAAGAACAGGTATTAACCTCTTGGGTACAGATTTATTTGAAAAAATATTTGCATGTGGAACGGATATAATGTTTGGTTGCTTGGAGTAATATGTAAAAGCAGTACATTTTACGTAAGAATTTATTTATTTCTAAAATATTGGTAACATATGTAGTATTAAAGATGTCTTCAAGTAATTAGAATTGCAAAACAAAAATAAATTAATAACAACAAAATAAAACTAAATGTAGTAAATTCAAGCTATAACAAAAAACCAATTACTAATAATTATGCAGAGTGGGATATTTTTCAAAGCAAGTAGGTAAATGCAGTGCTACTTTGCATTGTTTGCACTGCCACGTAGTCTCTTTTCTAATATTATGCTTATAACAAACACGGCACCTTTATCCAGGGTGTTGCTTGGACTTAGTTGACAGAACGTTCTCAGAAAAGTGTGCCCAATTTTTCGCTGCCAAACGAAATGGTTTGTATTGCTACTTGACGGACGTCCACGACGTTTATAATTTGCCAATGACAATTGCTCTAGCAATTCATCGGCAATAGCTAAACGAAAGGAAGTAATGCCTGCCTTGGTTGTGCAGTTGATTTTAGAATATAAAATGAGTATTATAAAAGAATAGCATTATAAAATGCCATATCTATTAGATAAAAAAACATTTTCTTATAACCCCTTTACACATTTCTCATAACTGGGAAGCACGCTAGCAATTGGTCTTGTTTATCAACACCTCCCATACTTTTATTATACTCAAGCACAGATGCTGGTTTTATAATATTTTCGCTATCACCACCTTCATTTTTTCTCCTTTTGCCTGTGTTTATCAAATCAGCATTTGAATGTTTCTTGCTAAGTATGTAAATCATCCGCTCTTGGGGAAAACAAGTGAATGATGTCTCTTGGACGTCAAATGTACCCAAGAGTTTAATTTTTTGTTTGACGTCTCAGACACGTCATCCGCTCCTAGGGGGAAAAAGTGAATGACGTGTCTCAGACGTCAAATGTACCCAAGGGGTTAAGGACATTTAGAAAAACTCTTCTGGGCAGAAAAGTGCATCCTCCACAAAACTGCTGAATTTTATTGGCAGTTTAGAATTTTGTGAATTTTATTGGTAATTTAGGACTTTGTGGTAATGTAGGATATTCGTAATTTTAAACGTTGTGAACTTTATTTACAGTTCAGAACTCTAAGTTATTTTTAATTTTGGTAAATTCCCATTTTGCAAAGGTGGGGAGAATGTTGAAAATGAATACTGTTGCATTGCTTTACAACAGTAACTTTATGAATACTGTTGTATTAATGAGTATAAATTTATCTTTTGTAGAATGGCAATGAAAATATTGTTTACTTGAAATATTCAAATAGTTGAGTTATAAATTTTAATTAAAGATGTGAGCCTGTTCTAACTATGATTCAATTTTTTTAACCAAACCACCATAATAGTCAAAACTAGAGAAATGAAATTTTATTATTTTAGTGCTATTTTGCCAAAAACATTTATTTTTATCTTATAACTGCCTACTGAGTTTGAAATTGATTATGAGAATTTCATTTAAATTAAGTTAAACAACGTTGATATCAGAACTTTCTTTTTACTACAGTGAAAATTGAAAGTTGTTGCTTGTAAACTTTATAAGAGATTTTCATTAATGGTTTAAGGGTTGTTTAAATGATTTTGGTAAAATGTCTATAAAATGTTCCAAAAGCTATTACATTTCGACAAAAATGAAAATTAATTCATTAGAAATATATTCTCTAACTTACACCTTTTTTTCAATGCAAATGTGTTTGTCCTTAGAGGATGTTCAATTTTAATAGATTTGGTATAATGATCATAACAAAGCTCGGTGGCGCAGTGGCTAGCACGTTGCACAGCTGCACCACAGGTCGATCCCCGGGCTGGGCAAGGTTGACTCAGCCTTTCATCCCTTGAGTGGGTCGATAAACTGAGTACCAATTTTGCTTGGGGACTAAACACGGGGGTCCTGCGACAAGCTGACCACTTGCCTAGGGCATATGCTGACACACCCTGGGGCCCAAGGTCAAGAAAGCAGGTTTCGGGGCACTGCAGGCAGTGGCCCACTAGGGCTGTTGCGCTCCTGAGTTTAGTTTAGCTTTACCGAATACATATTTAGGATTGTCACGCTGCATTTGTATACTTAAGAGTTTATACTGCTATAGTCACATGAACTTTTAATGCACTGAATCTGTGTTTTTAAGGAATATTAGACTAAATTTCATTGGAGGTTTTCAAGACAATATAATGACTTGCTATTTCACATGAAAATGTGTTTTAGTAGACTGAAAATTTTGACTAAAGATGTATTGAAGGGGATCAAGATACTTAGTCTGAACCACTGAGAAGGTTGAAGAGGCTCAAATCATGGTACTGGTGGAGAGGGAAGTTGCCATCGATGAAGTAGGATTTTTTATGCAGATTAGTCATGGTTCTGCCTATCAAATCATCAGTCATGAATTCAGCTTCCATAAAGGGTGCCCATACCACAAGCCACCAGTCTGTTGAAACCCTTAAACATCAGGGTTTCAAGATGCTGAAATACCCTTCTACAGCCCAGAACTTGTCTCTTCTTTTGCTACAGTCAAAAGTCTTTAATCCGGAAGTCCATAATCCGGAATGATCTATAATCGGGACCTCAGAGCTACAAACTTTCTGCGCATGCGTAAACGCATTATGCGTTTACGAATGCGCATAATACGTTTACGCATGTGCGTTTAATGTATAACGGACGGTATAAGCTAAGTTAAAATTATCTAATTATCTATTTCAGTTAATGTTGCAGATTGCGTTGTTCCTTAATCTTCTAATTGGATCCGGCTTATTATTTTTTGGCAGACTGTTAGAGCAATTTTATAAAAGTAAGCTTGAACTTTCTATTATGTCAAAAAGATTCTCCGATTCAGGAGCTGCCAAAGGATCTACAAAGCGAAAGCATGTTTCGATGTCCATCAAACAGAAAGTGGAATTGCTGCAAAAAAAACGGGTAAAGGCATATCCTTTGTTTCTCTAACCATTCCGAAATCTGTTTATCAATTTCACGCTGCTCTGCGCGGGGGGGGGGGGAACGTCGCGGCGCGCAACGAACTGGAAGTTGATCTGTCAGCACTATCCTTATCTTCAGGGCAGATGTTTTTATTTTATTTGGCTTATAATTCCTTACTAAATGTAGTATTTAATCTCGATGTACTCCGCCTTTGATATGATTTAAATCAAATTCCTCGTCATTATAAATATCACGAATACACATCAAATAGTTTTCTGGTTGCAGTTTTCTAATTTCGACTATGCGTAATGTATGCTTTACGCATGCGCACTTTGAAAGAAATGTTTAATAACGTAAACAAATAAATATTAACCTTTTTTTTTTTGTAAGTTTTCATACCATTTAGATCATAATTGCTCTTTATTTCATAAATTACGGTTTCATATTTTTAATTTTATAATTTCGGCATGCCATCTTACCAGATTTAAATTGATGATCTATAATCTGATAATCCGGAATTGCCGAAGTCCCGACGAGTCCGGATTAACGACTTTAGACTGTATATCTTTTTAGACTTCTCAAAGATGTTTTCTGTGGTCATTGATTTTTGATAGACAAAGAAACATGGGAAGGAATACATAAATATTTTCATGACCAACTAAAACCCTTCTTGGAGGAAATACACAAGCTTGTGGATTATTGGATTAAGTCCAGAACAAGGAAGGTAACTGTGTAAGAAAATACATGCTCAACCCTTACTTTTGTTTACAAGATTGTGGGACATTTTTGGCTTTACCTCTGCAATGCAGTCAAGTATGTTGTCTGCCACAGTGAAATATATTGTTTTGAATCTTACCAGCTTTATTAGATACTACATTTTGTACTAGTCTTAAATTTTGAAATATATAATGCTTGGTGTGTATAAAATTTTATTCTATCTTCTAAGCACATTATGTATGTTGAATCATATGCTAACATATTTCCTCTATTGCTTTGTTTAGGTACCAAAAATTGATCCATATTCTAATAAAGGTACTAAGCTTGACAACTTTTCTGCCAACATAGAATTCCATAATGTGAATTTTTCATATCCATCTAGAAAAACAGTTCAGGTATAAATTTTTCCTGATCTTCTTCCATTAGCTTTTCTAAATTGTATGGTTAGTAATAAACTTGCATGACCAACTAAAACCCAACTAAACTAAACTTTGAATGACTTTCTCTGAAACCTTTGAAAAATAATGTCTTTTCATGCTCCCTGTGGCAATTTTATGCACATTCTGTAACTTCATAGGTTCTGAAGAACTTCTGCCTGCAGATAAAGGAAGGACAAACTGTTGCCTTATGTGGTTCTAGTGGGAGTGGAAAATCAACAGTTGTCAATCTGTTATTACGCTTTTATGATCCTAACCAAGGAAGTGTGAGAATGTTTGCATTTTTAATCTGAATTATTATTTTTTATTTTTGTATTATGTAACATTAAATCCAAATAGACTAACAGGAGAGGGAACAGATTTGTGTCTCCTGTTCAAGTTAGTGGGTTGGCAAAGTTTAAAATTGCATTTCCTTGTCTCAAAATGATGGATTAGAATATGCATTATATACCCAGAAGCCCCTACTTGTGTTCTTGTAACTATTAGTCACAAGCATATACTTCTAGTTACAAAAGTGTGTTAAATTATGCAAATATTCATTTTGACATTTTTAAAGTTTAAAAAAATGATTTTGTAATAATTACAAAATTTAAATTTTTGTACATTTTCCCAGCTTTTATAGTTAGGAAAATTTTATTCTCAATATAAAAAGAACAATACAAAAAGTATGAGCTCCATCCAACAAAAATTGACAGAGATATTTGATTTTAAATTTTAGGGTCATATTCATTTCCATATACAAACTGCAAACTGAAATGGTTGCAATTCTACATAAGAAAAATATATCAGTTTAGAAAACGATTTCTGATATTAATAAATTGTTAAATAGCATTTTGATGCAGATTGTTATGAAAGTATTGATTAATTATTTTTATTTCAAAAAGGATACCTATTCATAAAATTTTGGAGTTTGTGATTTAGAGAACATTTTCATTCTTCAGTACTGGCACACAAAAAATCATAATTTTTTTTTTTTGCAAAAATAAAAAAAAATATTTCTAGTTTAATGAATTTTGCATGTTTATTAGATTTTTATTTTAAAGTAGCAAAGTGTCATGAGAGTATTAGTAACATCTTTCTAGAGTTCGGAAACTTACAAATTACTTGTGTGAAAATTCTTTCAGCGTACCATTTGTCACAAAATTACAAATTAAAAATGTTAACACTAGTAAATCCCAAAGGAATATTCCAGAATGGCATTTAAGGGAGAAAATGAACTTTGATTCATTCTTATTTATTTATTAACTGATCTCTCAAGACAAGTTGAAATAGATATACTTCAGGTTTCCAAAGTTTTGAAATTGGAAGACTCAGTCAGTTTTTGTCATATGACAGTCAAATATTTTATTTTTAATAATGAGTATAAATTTTCTCTAAATATAAATGTAGGGACCAGAGGCCATATAAAACATAAGATTTCTTAATTTGTACAGAACTGATTTTTTAAAGTGGAAAATGCCAAAACATGAATATTTGTGTCATTTAAAACATTTGTGTATTTGGAAGTAAGTGTATGTCTACAATCAACATTTGCAGAAATAAAGGCAGAGTAAGTAGTTTTGTATATTAGATTTGTAAACAACAACATTATGCCAAAATATGATTTTTTACAATAAAATTATGTTTTCATTGCAATGGCATCTTGATTTTCTCACCGTAGATCAATTCTGTGTTTTAAATTATGCCTAGTATCAAATTTTTGAAATGTTATGCGATCATGTTTGAGTATTTCGTGTGCATAGCTTGATATATTTTCAGTTGTTCACCAGAAATAATTTCTATTTCTTGCTTTTTTTCTCTTCTTCAGTGAATTAATCCTTACTAAATTATTAAAAATTTAAGATTCTGAATGATTGTGTAATTTATTCACAATGTTTTTATTGTTTTGAGGTAAATTACTGAATTTTAACTTGCATTTTTTACAAATTGTTAAGATATCAAAGAAATATGTAGAATTTTATAGAAAAGATATTCATTTCAAATTGCCTTCATTTACAGATATAAGTGATGCCAAATAATATGTTACATATAAGATTAAGAATTTGAATTCAATATCAGATAAAACAGTATCAGCAAAAGTGACGAAAATGATTATATTAAAAGTAACTTTTGAATAAAGACTACAGCCACAGTTACAAAGCAGTACTTCATTTAATTTAAAGTTTTAAATTTTACTTAGCTAAATACAGTCAAAAGTCGTTAATTCGGACACCCATAATGTGGAATGATCTATAATCCGGACCTCAAAGCTAAAACCTTTCTGCGCATGCGCCGCGTTCACACATGCGCATAGGCGTTTACGCGTGCGCGTAAGACCTCTTACGTCTGCGCATATGCGTGTGCGCAAGCGCAGAATGAGTTTTCGCGTGCGCGTTTTATGTATAACGGGCGGTATGAGCTAAAATTATCTAATTATCTATTTCAGTTAATGTTGATGATTGCGTTGTTCCTTAATCTTCGAATTGGATCCCGGCTTATTATTTTTTTGCAGACTGTAAGAGCAATTTTATAAAAGTAAACTTGAACTTTCGATTATGTCAAATAGAATTTCCGATTCTGGAAGCTCCCAAAGGATCGTACAAAACGAAAGTATGTTTCGATGTCCAATCAAACAAAAAGTGAAATTGCTGAAAAAAAATGGATAAAGACATGAAGAATGTGACAGAGAGGTTAGTGAAAACGAAAAAATTTCGATTGACCAGTTAGTCGGTATTCTCGGCACAGCAATTACAGGACTTGAACAGCAGGAACTTTGTAACTGAACAAGAAATTATGTCTGTTTATAGAATTAAAGAGAAAGTATTATCACATAAAACGAAGCAACTTAAACAACTTACATTGAAAGAAATGTTTAATAAAGTAAACAAATAAATATTAAGCTTTTTTTTTTGTAAATTTTGATACCCTTTAGATCATAATTGTTCTTTATTTCATAAATTACGGTTTCATATTTTTAATTTTAGAATTTCTGCATGCCATCTTACGAGATTTAAACTGATGATCTATAATCCGGAAAAATCGATAATCCGGAATCGCCTAAGTCCCGACGAGTCCGGATTAACGACTTTTGACTGTAATTACCTTTGGAACTTTTGGTTAGATATTATTCTTATTGTTTATGTTGCTAATTGCCAGTAGGATATCTGGGTATACTTTGCTGTGATTTAGAAGCATTTTCAATTAACCTTTTGATTTCAAAATCTTTCTTGTTAAGTGCATTTCTGTTTCATAAAGTTATTTTGAAATAATAAGCAATAATGTAAGAACATTAATGTATGTTACATCAAATTCTGCATTTGAAATATTCATACAAAATTCCATGTTCAAGTATTTTTCCTCCTTAGCATTACTTCACTAAGTATTATGCATTCATTTCTAATAAATTTCTAATAATCTTGGGTCAATGACTTTGTTCAATATAAAAGCCTCAGTGTAATTTTGATATTGTTTAATGATAGGTCTTCTATGGTAGCCAAAATAAGAAATTTGTAATTTAAGTTTATGCCAACTAAATACTGGCTGTAATATTTTATTAAATTGCTGAAGAAATTTAAGAGGATGGAAAGCACTGTTTACCAAACAGCTAAAGATGAATTTTTGGCTACCCCCTACTGCAAGTTGCAACCCACAGTTTAAGAAACTGTTGTAAAGTATACTATACAAAATTTAATTTGCATTAAGCAAACGTCTAAGGGTACATGTCACACTTGTGATTCTTTGCAAATAAAAATTCTGTCTTCAGATTGTGAGGGAATTCAAATGGAAGAAATTGAAAAGAAAACTCACTTAGAAGAGAATGAACAGGCTCATAATCATTTGGCTACAGATGGAATGACAGCATCTGAAAAAATTTTCGTATTTTCTTTTGACTTCGAAAATTCCTGAATTTACCACATCTGCAGCTTATTATATGCGAAATTTATATGTTTATAATTTTGTGTGTTGTGATTTGAATAAAAATATAAACCACATGTTTATTTGGCCAGAAACTGAAGGATCCTGTGTCCTTGTCACTCAGGAAATTTCATCATATTTAATAAAGTACATAAAGCCTTATTCTAAAACTTTTGAAAACATAATAACGTATTAAAATTCGTGTACCATAGAAAAAAGAAATGTCATAACTGTCTTAAGTTTACTTAAACTTGTTCAATGTACAGAAATAAGAGCTGAGTCAATTGAAATGAAATTTTTGGTAAGTGGACATAGCTATTTGCCAAATGATTCAGATTTTGCCATTAATGAGTCACAAGTAAAAATAATTCAAAACATTTTTCACCAGATGATTGCTGTGATATAACTAAAACATGTAAAAAAATGTAATTTAATCCAAATGACTCACCAATATTTTTTCCCAGCCAAACCTTTACGAAATTCAGTCCTTAACAAAAAAGTAACCATTACAAGGTTTCAAGTTAATTGGCTTAAAACTGCACTGGATAAAGATAGAAAGGTCCAAATCTCACCTCATAGAATTCTAATATTACTATATTGAAGATTAGGAAATTGATGCCATTAATATAATAAATCTGTAGAAAGTAGACCACAAAATGTGAAAAATGTAGATCATCATTTATTATATCCTCAAGGTTGAACTGTGACTAGGGGAAAAAAGAGAAACATTATGGACTTTCTGAAATTCAGTCCTCCTGTTAAACATAATTACTATAAAAACTTGAGAACTAGTCAAAATGACGAAATTACACGTAGAGCTGTTGAATAATATCTCATTTGTATTGCTGATTAATGACAAATAATATGTTTTAACAGAACTGATGATATTCACTTTTATGAAAAAAACTATAATAGAAATATATAATTAACTTTTTCTGTAATAAAAAAATTAAAAAGTTGATCATTTAATTTAATTTTCTTTTTCACTTACCAAATCAATTAACTCCTTCAGTTACATAAAAATTGTAACATTATTGATGATTACGTTTGGCTCGTTTTCTTATTAATTTTATATACCATTAGACGAAACTAGTGCAATGTATGCAGTCTGCAATATTTATTTGATTTTATATTATGAAGGAAATTTTAAACAACAATGTGCATTCATTATTTCATCGCATTTCTCCGCTTTTTGTTTTATGGATTTAATGTATTGTAGAGTGAATGGCTCAATTATTAAATTGACCAGTTCAGCAGATGGGGTGTTTGTCATGTAAAATGGAAATGATTAGAAGTTCAGCTGTGTATGCAAACAGGATGCACAAATTCCTGTCACAAAACAAGGTATTGAAAGCAGCTGATAGACTTTTAG